CTGAATTTCTTGTTCCTATAATAGGTGTTTGAGGCCCAGCCCACTTGGGCCTTGAAATGGGCTTCACATAGGAGAATGTCTACGAGATGAACTTCAACTAAACTAGTAGCCGTAGAATCTCTTAAACTAAAGAACATGCCAGGATATTCAGATCATTTGACCAATCCTAAGTAACATTTAATTGAGGAGGTAAAGAAGGATTTTGCACTTTATTAGTAAGTTGAAATATTTTAAAACTCAACAATGCAGATCGGGAGTCATCGATACGAATCGGGAATCCGTCAGCACCAAAATGACTTTCTTTCAAGATAAATCAAAGAGAAACTCATAGAATCTGACCAGTATTGGGCAGTTAATTATTTTCCTATAAAATTCTGGTGACATTTTTTAATTGCAAAATTCATCTCCTCTTCTGATTTTAGCAAGAATAGCATATAACTAATAAAATAAAATAAAATTACACAGATAGATGTCCTACCTTTTGAGCCCATTCATGTATACACCATTGCGATTTAATGGTGGAGAAAAGGAAACAGGAACACTGATTGCAAAACTCCATCTCGGTCCTTACATACCTCATCATTGAACATCAACATGGCATGGTGGTTTGCCTTTTTAACATTCAATTGACATATCCTGAGTTCCAAACCCACTGATTTTTGAAGAAAGGTCCGTGCTATATAAAAGAAAAGGATGGAGTATCTACGAGTCAGTCGACTCATGCTATACGTATGCAGACCCCTCTTAAACCATCTTACAAATGGATTTTTAATTTATAATTTTAGGAATTCATGATCTAGGTTAAGATGATCATGAAAGTGAAAATAAAATAAAAATTTTGATATTTTAAATGTCATTTTTTAAAAAAAATTCTATACCATCTAAACCTTGTGAGTTTTTTACAGCGTCACGTTGGTGAGTCAACAGGCTCTTGCACTCGCTGGACTTTTCCAAAAGAAAAAAGGGATACAATATTTGTAGAAATCAAAGTGTATAGATACAACATCAACATAAGAGATTTCCGAACACATCAATGATGATGTATGTGCCGATACAAAGTGTTGGCACAATAGATTTCCAAAATGTGTTTGAGCATTTCAACACATGTCGACCCACAATACATAAGGAAAGTTGAGGTGTTTGTGTAAGACTGTATTTCACTCATTTTTTTGGCTAAATTTCAAAAAGCCTTTCAGTAAATCTTAATGGGTTAGAAATTAATGAAGATTTGATTTCTCATTTCGGCCCTCCAACAAAGACGAAGTACTATTTTGGAAACCATCGCATAGGGCGTTGGTATTCTCAAATACTGTATCTCACTCTAAATACCTTAGATATTGGTATCTTCTTAACGACAATATATTGCTAAGTAAATGACCATATAGATATTGGTATCTTCGACTACTAATCTCGCTGTCACATTGTAAGATATTGGTAATTTTTGTATACCAATATCACACAGGTTCTAAATTATTGCAAGATATTGGCATTTCCAGACAACATCTTATTAATTTAATCCTTCTAAGAAATTTTTGTGCTTTCTAAACACGTATATCTCACCAAGATACTCCAATAAGAATCTCACTAGGTGTATAGAGTGAATATTGGTATTTAAAAATATTAACATCACAAATACCATTCTCTAAGAACCACTTTGACTTTGATAGAGGGTAAAACTAAAAATTGCCCCTCCACCAATTTTTTACCCTCTAATGTGTAGATGAGCTTTTTGAAAGTAAAACAAAGGGTTTGGGCAAAATCAGAGAATCTCTTGGGTGTGGTTTAATAAATTTCCCCATCAGAGAATCTCTACAAGCATTTGCGTCTTTTCAATCATTTTTTTCTGGTTTTGCTTTGAGATAATAAAAAATAAACCCTAGATCTAATGACAGCAGGATCTATTTGAACTCCTTTTTTTCTTCTTTTTTTTTTCTATTTTATTTCCTGGTTAATGCTAAACCAAATCTAAATGCAATATTCTTAGGTTTTGGGATCTTTCCATTTGATGTTGATTTTTTTCCCCTTTGGTTATGCAATCTGATGGATTTTTCATTTGCAGCAGCCCCTCTTGCTCTCTCTTCCCTAGCAAAAAGGGTCCTTCTTAGTCCTCTTCCAAAACCCTAGCAAGGAATCATTTCTCTCTCTTTCTCTCGGGCACACCCCAAAACCCTAGCCACAGGCTTTCTTTGGGTCTTAGTAAAGGCTCCTCTTCTACTCCAAATCTTTTAACAGACACAGGGCAGCCTCAAATCACAACATAGTAAGTATTGTTCTTCTCTTGTTCCTAATGTTAATTAGCATAGCTTTTAGTGTTGTTATTTTGTTTGTCAATTAGCTTTTAGCTTTCATAGGGAAGGGCATAGTACATGGCTTTCTTGTAATGAAATTTACTGCTAAATTTCAAAGACCAAATATGATAAGCATGATGAATAAAGAGGACTAAAATTCAATAATGTGTTGCTGAGGAATTTGTGCACTTAAATGATCAAATCATCTCCATCTAAGATCAAATTGATTTCCTAGCCATTGGTCATTTTTCTCATGAATTAGGCACAAGAATTTGATTAACAAAAAGAGGTTTGATGAATAAAAAATGTTACTGATTTTTTTTAAACGAAAAAATACAGCACAATTTCATGATGATCAATAAATTAGTGATCTAGTTGCTATAGTGCTATCCTATTGTCATCAATTAAATGCAGCTTTTGCTATGCATACTGTTAGATATTTAAATTAGACAGAAGTGGTTTTAATTAGCCCACCATGACAATCATACCAATCAACATTTCAAGAACTTGCACTCTAACTGATTTACAGAAATGGCTTACTGATTTACAGAGTTAACTTATTGTTAGTGAACTAATGATAATTACCTTTTAGCTTTCGTATTTTATCCCTCTCATGGATTGAATCACCTTTAGCATGTGAAATGAATCACCATATGCATGTGAATTGAGGGAACCAACTGAGATAGGAGCTATATGAGAGTGGTACCCACTGAGATAGAAGCATTTTTTGTTGCATTTTTTGTCTTCTTGCTTTCCAATTACTATGAATGGCAAGTTCTTGCTGTATATATTTGACTCTCTATGTTTCTTCTTGCTTTTCAATTACCACGATGACCCCTTTTCCTTTTTCCTTTCAATATGCTGTGATTATCTAGAGGATTATTTGCCTCATTTCGATCATTCTGCATGTTCAATGAGCATTACAACATATGAGAACAAATTGCAAACTAAACGTTCAATTTATCTTAGTGTTCACAATATTGTAGTTTCCTTTTCCTGTTGAGACTGGTTGATTGATCTAATAATCGAGTGAACATGTGTAGTGACATTAAGTAATTTGATAACACTTTCGTATTGGGTTGTATGGATTATTGTTGTTTCGGTATCTTTTCTCATTGACACAAAATGATTGATATATGCTAATGGATTTAGATGTGGTTTTCACTTCTATTTTTTCTTCTGAAAGTAATCGAAGGATCCATAATTCATTTGAAAGTTTTTGAATTCATAATTCATTTGAATGGATGTTTCATACAAATATCCCTAATTGTATATGGAATTGTACTAAGTTAGCTTGTTCTCCATATATGGTCTCGAGTTGAAACGGTATTTTGTCATGCTTTATGGTAGTTAAAATGCCATGTGCTTCCACAACTAAAGAAGGATATCCGCTTTGTACCTGTCCTCGTTGTTATTTACCACCTATATTTTGCACTACATTAGATTAAGGAGAGCACAAAGCTCTATTGAAATATCTTTTCAACATCAAATTCTTAGACAAGTAAGAACAGATATCGAGATGCCTGCAAAAGAGGAAGAAGAAGATGGAAGTGAAGAGGATAGGAAGAACTTGAGCAGCTGATTTCTCTAAGTAGAGCTGGCCATAATTTTGAGGTACACATAATTACAACACAAATGTGGACTGCATACCGAAGATGTCGCAATCAATAGTGTATTCATAAAAGTGGGTGTGCTATAAGTTTGTCTTCACTCTCTCCTCCTCTCTCTCTCATTCATTTGTATTTCATAATCAATAGTGTATTCATAAAAGTGGGTGTGCTATAAGTTTGTCTTCACTCTCTCCTCCTCTCTCTCTCATTCATTTGTATTTCATAAGACCTTTGTAATGAACTTCTGACATGTGGTGCACTCGTGGTTCAAATTTGATTTTTATTGAGAATATTTCTCTAATTACATGGGTATTAGATTAAATTTCAGTATTAACCATTGTAAGAAATGCATTAGATAGGTAGCAACAAGAAAATCTTATTAAAAAATGGAAAAAGTTTATATTGAGCCAAGGCTCTAAACAATCAAATTAAAGCCTACCTCATGCCCAAATATCTTAAATTGATCATCTCAATACCAAGATGTATGGACAAAAGATAGATTTCAAGTTTTGAAAATAATATATTTTGTAAAGCATTTTTGGACAGTCAATTTTCAGGACTTTCAAGTTTCTATAGATTTGTAGATCTACACTATTTTTGAAGCTTTAAACTTTATAAATAAAGCTGAAAATATGTTTTAAGGTTGTCACAAAGATTTTTAGTATTGAAACCACATTTATTGACACTATTTGAAGGTAGACCCTAAATTGATTATTTAGGGCCTAAGCTCTATACAAACCACACCCTTAAAAATATACATACATTATGCGCATCAAACTAAGGATTTCATAATGAACTGTTAAAATAGGTTGTTTCGTGCTTTCCCAGCATTAAATAGGCTTTCCCAATATTATATGGGTAAAAATTGTAGCACCACCATTTATCAAACAAGGTTCCCAGCTTTCAAGCTACTGATTTTCACTTTCCTCCCAAATTTCAGTCGTCAAATGCACCCTTAGCGACAAACTACCCATTTGTGAGTAAAGATGCATTAATAAAGAAACCCAATTAGTCTTTTGCAATTCGGCTCTTGTTAAAGTACCAGACATATATTTCGAAGTGGCAGACAAAAAAGTATGAACCATTTTCAAAGGTAGATGCATCAATAGGAAAACACAAATAATTGAATTGAGAGAAACTTGATATCCAGATACCATACAAAATTGGACAACTTCAATTGCCATTTTCTTACATAAAGTGATTGCCAGAAAGCCGGTGTTAACCAAAGAGAACTAACATCTCTCGCTATAAGTTCTAACGTGCAGGCTCTTGGGTGTTTTCTATTGATCTCATGCAAACAAATATGATCGCCTTCGGCCTCGGTCAGAAAACACCAAGCAGTGTGGCAATTGCAAACAAAAGAAATAATCCTCCTCCCAAGTAGCCAACCTAGTTAAAAGTGATCGCATAAAGCAATAAGTTCAGAATCATATTCGCCATTTGGTTTTTCCAAAGATTTCAGAAAGTTGTCGTTTGAGAGATTCAGTTTAGAGGGTTTTTAGGCCTCATATTATATATATATATATATATATATATATATATATATAGAGAGAGAGAGAGAGAGAGAGAGAGAGAGAGAGACGACTACGTTACTTATTAGTAATAATAGTAGTAGTACGAACGACCTACCCTAACTAATACGTAGTAGTAGTAGTACGTAC